GATGATGATGGTGGTGATGACGATGATGATGATGGTCATAATGATGTTGAAGATGATGGTGATGATGTTAATGATGACGGTGATGATGGTGATGATGATGGTGGTGATTATTACTACTCACGGGGCCTCCACTGGGACCCGGCTCACTGAAGAGGCACTAAGATGAGTGGGTGGTGGTGGTGGTGGTGGTCGTGCTGAATGTAATCTCACCTAACAACACCTACGGCGTTGTTTGTAATTTAAGCTTCGCTTAGTCACCGGTTCGTGTCGCCATTAGGTGACAGGATCCCTGGTATCCCCCAGCCCCTCCCCCCACGCCCCACACACACAAAAAAGACAAAGATCCCCCGTATAGTCTTGAACAGATTGTTGGGGCAAGTGCTGTTAGCGAGTAGCACCTATTAAGACCGACACTGTGGCACACGAGGGGAGGGAGGGGGGTGGCCAGCACCACGCCCGGCCGCCTTTGTCTCTCCGGTGGCGATGCGGTGGACGCATCGATTCAGGGCGCGGCGCTCCAAACCCGGCGTCCCCGGGTTCGATTCCCGCTCACGGCCAACACCGAACCGGTCATGGGCATCCCCTAGGTCGACTCGGCCTCAAATGAGTACCTGGTGTAGCGGAGTGTAAACATCGCCACTGGGGAGACAAAGGCGGCCGGGCGTGGTGCTGTGGACACCCACGCCCTCGTGTGCCGTGCCGGCCTTCGTAGGCGCTGCTACTCTCTTCGGTATTTATTTATTTATTTTCTGTTGATTTACTTTGGTATAGCCCTGTGAGCCATTCGGCTCTTGAATCGGGTGCAACCACAACAAACAAAAAACACTAAAACACGAACAAGAAAACATCTTAAAGTGACTATGTGACTGTGCAAACAGAAAATCCATGAAAAAAAACAGCAAAATATTCCTGAAAAAAGCACCGTACACCAACGCTGTGTGCAAAAAATCCCAGTGGGATGCAAGTCAAACAACAACAACCACAAGAAAACTTAGATTAAGGCCATCAGTCTAACTCCGTACTACAACAAAGCAAACATGTCCAAACCAAAAAACTTTTCGAAATCACCAAAACATAAAGCCATAATTGCAACGTAACAGTGATCATAGGGACTGTGATCGAATTTTTACAATAACCTATATAAATAACATGTAACATCAAATCCTAAAGCCATAGCTGGCTGCATGAGTTGCTCCACAACAACAGAAGCATCAGTCGGAGTATCAAATTTTTCAATGCACCTTTAAGATCAGCACGCTAAATCAAAATACAGATAATACTTGGCAGCGTCATCCGGAGCGAAACATTTTATTTTATTTTACGCCACTGAATAGCAGTGGCAGCTAGGGGTGTACAACTCCTCTAGAGCAGTTTTGAGAGAAGATCTCATAGGTAGTGATCCAAGTTGCAGTTTATTGGCAATAGCATTCCAGACCATGGGGACGTCAATAGCAAAGGCCCTTCCTCCAGTTTTTGTACGGCAATAGGGAATGTGAAGCTGGTAAATGAGCAAAGACCTTAGGTCAAATTTGTTCTTTGAAACAGAGAGGAGATCCAGTCTGCGGATTTTTTTGTAAGTACATCGTGAATGAATAAGATCTGGTGCACAAGCCGTCGAACATTAAGATATGTTAAGTTTGACCCAATGTAGAGATCACAGTGGTGAGTCCTATATGGGCAGTTCAATGTAAATCTTAAGGCCGAGTGATGGATGGAATCAAGCTTCTTCAGTACAGTACTTGGGGCTGATTTTCACGGCACTTGTCCCGACAGTCTGTTGAAGGTTACACGGGGGACCTTTGCTTTTGTGTACAGGTTTACCGTGCTGAAAATAGCCGCGTAATGAGGATACGGTAGGTAGAGCGGTGAGGAAACTCCGAACGCACCTCCCTCGCCCTTTACTCGTGTCAGCTTTCACACCTTTATTAAATTCCTACCCATCTCACTCTACTCCCCTCTCAACTCACTCTACTCTCCTCCCCCTCCCATCTCACTCTCCTCTCATCTCACTCTCCTACCTCTCCCCTCCCATCTCACTCTCCTACCTCTCCCGTCTCACTCTCCTACCTCTCCCCTCCCATCTCACTCTCCTACCCCTCCCATCTCACTCTCCTACCCCTCCCCCCTCCCAACTCACTCTCCTACCCCTCCCATCTCACTCTCCTACATCTCCCCTCCCATCTCACTCTCCTACCCCTCCCATCTCACTCTCCTACCCCTCCCCCCTCCAAACTCACTCTCCTACCCCTCCCATCTCATTCTCCTACCTCTCCCCTCCCATCTCACTCTCCTACCCCTCCCATCTCACTCTCCTACCCCTCCCCCCTCCCAACTCACTCTCCTACCCCTCCCATCTCACTCTCCTACCTCTCCCCTCCCATCTCACTCTCCTACCCCTCCCCCCTCCCATCTCACTCTCCTACCTCTCCCCTCCCATCTCACTCTCCTACCTCTCCCCTCCCATCTCACTCTCCTACCCCTCCCAACTCACTCTCCTACCCCTCCCATCTCACTCTCCTACCTCTCCCCTCCCATCTCACTCTCCTACCCCTCCCATCTCACTCTCCTACCCCTCCCATCTCACTCTCCTACCCCTCCCATCTCACTCTCCTACCTCTCCCCTCCCATCTCACTCTCCTACCTCTCCCCTCCCATCTCACTCTCCTACCCCTCCCATCTCACTCTCCTACCCCTCCCATCTCACTCTCCTACCCCTCCCATCTCACTCTCCTACCCCTCCCATCTCACTCTCCTACCTCTCCCATCTCACTCTCCTACCCCTCCCATCTCACTCTCCTACCTCTCCCCACCCATCTCACTCTCCTACCTCTCCCCTCCCATCTCACTCTCCTACTTTCCCCTTAGCCATCCCACTCCATTCCCCTCTGCGACACCACACACGCACACCACCGATGTCACTCGCAATGCCATGTGGAGTGTTGCGAGTGGGGGCTTTTTGTTTTTTATTCGACAAACCGATCAGTGGAGGAAGTCGCTGGGAGTAGGCGTGGGTGGGGGGGGTGACCGTGTGGACACCCGGGGTAGACGGGGAACAACACCGCCGGAACTTGAACGCCGTCGCAGCGCCCAACCCAAGGTCTCCAAAGGCAGCGTCGCTGAACGGGCGAACGCTGAGTGCACAGAGGGGGCCCCCGCGTGGACCTCAACGTTGCATGACAACGTTGAGGCGACGTTGCGACAACGTTGGCGTCAACGTTCTCCCAACGTTGGCGCCAACGTTCACCCAACTTTGGGCCAACATTTGACTCAACGTTGCCCCAACGTTGGCCCAATGTTCGGTGAACGTTGACGCGGCCGGCCGGTAACCAAGAACCCCAACTTCATCATCTCAAAATATGTTGTGCCGCTTACGGTGCAGGGCATCATCTATTTCCTCAGCCGGCACCTTTCCCGACTTGCGAAGTCACGAGCGCAATTGGTAAATCTTTTTCCCCGCGCAGTGCGGACCGTTCTCACGACGCGGATTTGGACGCGACGCGACGCGACCGAGCGAGCGAGCGAGCGGAACCACATCGGCAGCGCGAGCGGGAACGAGCGGTCGCGTCGCGGCCGCTTCGGCGGAGCGTCTCTCGTGGCGCGAGGCGTTTGGGATGCTGCTGGATGCTCCTGGACGCCGCACGCATGCGCCCCCCGGTCTTTTCTCCGTCCTGCGTACGCACCTCGCGCGTTCTCGCGGGCAGCGCGCTACCACCTGTGTTACGTGCGACTTATTACAACGCGAATTCTTCCATAACGCGGCGATCCTCGGGAACGCAACCACCACCACGCTAGAGGAGAACTGGGCCGTGTACGGTATTTGCCGTGGGCCGAAAGAACCGCTTGGGTGGAGTAAGAGCGGAGAAGGTGCTGGGGACAGCATCGACTGAATTCCCCTTTGCGGTCGACCAGACGCCAGAGTTGAAGAAACCGGTCCGGACTTTGGCTCGTCTTGAAATCAGCGGCGCTGCAGACCATGAGAGGTTGATGTGGGATACCTAACAAAGACGGTTTTTCATAATTATTATATTCATCATGGAGAGACCGTTTTGTACGTGATGGCCCGGCTGAATTAATTCCGCCTGTCCGTTATCAGATTTTTTTTTTCTTTTGCCGTTCCCCCGGTTTTTCGCCCGGACTCGAACACTGCCGCGAAGCCGAATCGAAAGTTTACGCGGTGACAAGTTGGGAGCAACGCGTCGCGCTTGGGTTGCCCAAGAGGATTGCCACGCGTTGGTGCGACAATTCAACGCAGTAAGGCCCGGCTAGTTTGAGCACGGGCCGCGCCTGCTTTTGTATTGTTTAAAAAGGAAAATGATCGTTATTATTATATATCTTTAATCGTCACTATGTACATATAGATAATTTATAAATGTAGAAAAATACATGTGCTGTGACCCCGAATCAAACATTTCCAAGTGCGAAGACCACGTGGACAATTAGCCCCTCGCCAAGCTGTACAAAATAAATAATAAATAAAATCTGAAGCCTGCGCCCCCCTCCCCCCAATCCCTGCCACCACGAATCACAAAACAACGTAACCGTTTAGATTTAAAATAGGGGAGATAAAAAAATATATTATATTAGATTGAACCAAAAAACACAACGCCATCAATAGGCAACGTTGCGCGCATATAAATACGCATGAGCAGAACCGTCGCACGCCATCCAACACAAAGACAAAGATTCACCACCCCTCTCCACACCGTATAGCATCAACATACTACTGGTGCAAGTGCTGTCATCGAGCGCCTATGAAGGCTGGGTAAGGAGTGAGTTAACCCCGGTTATAGCGGTGTGTGTGTGTGGGGTGTGGGTTAGGAGCGAGTTCACCCCGGGTTATAACACCGTGCGTTCGGAGCGAGTTAACCGGGGCTACAACGGCTCTTCGCTCGACGCAACCGTTCAAGACCCCCCCCTCCTCCTGCCGCCCCCCCCCCCCGCCCACCCTTCGCGCGGCACCGCCACCACCGCCACCACCGCCGCCACCGCCGCCACCACCGCCGCCACCACCGCCGCCGCCGCTCAGTCCTCGTTCTCGCGCAGCGCGTTGTACTCCTTGGGCGCCCACTCGAGGCGCACGAGCCTGATGGCCTGCGACATGCCGATCTTGGGGTCCCAACAGTACTCGGGCGACAGCAGCTTGCTGGGCCTGTGGTCCATGAAGTAGCGGTTCAGGTGGCTCTCGTCGTGCCACAGGGCCTCGACGCCCGCGTCGCGGTCCCGCGTGATGCCCGCGTAGATGCCGCGCGTCGCGTTCAGCACCCCGGCGCATCGGCCGCCGAACACCGCCGCGTGGTAGTAGAAGTCGCCGGCGCCCGGCGCGATGTAGGCCACCGACTCGGGCCGCCGCTCGTACGTGAAGGCCTCGGGCGGCTGGTCGAAGAACCACGCCTGGATGAGCGCCACCGTGTCGCCCAGCGCCTCGGCGCCCCAGCGCGCCGTGAAGTGCTGGTCGACGTCGAAGCAGAAGATGTAGTCGTGCGAGCGCGCCGCGGTGCTCTCGATCAGGTCGCCGATCATCTTCATACGGTCCATTGAGATGTCCTGCCAGCGGGCCCGCTTCTCCACCTGGTGGTGGGTGGGCAGCGGGCGGCGGTGGTGGGTGGGTGGTGGCGATGATGACAGTGGTGGGTGGCGGTGGCGATTGTAGCGGTGGTAGGGTGGTGCCAATGGTGGCGGTGGTGGGTGGTGGTTGGGTGGCGGTGGGCAGTGGTGGCGGTGGTGGCAATGGTGGGTAGGTGGTGCCGATGGTGGTGGTGGTGGGCGGGTGGTGGGTAGGTGGTGGCAATGGTGGTGGGTGATGGAAGTGTGGCGGGAACACCCTCCATGTTAGATCATATGATTACCCCATGAATGCAAGGATTTCCCCCCCCCCCGCCCCCATTGACTCACTCACGTAAATGAGAGTCATCCAGGCCTGTTGAGTTCTCACCGGGTCTAACCAAACAACATTTGACTAATCGCCAGAGGCCTGTTGGCGTGGCACTGCGTGCGACCGTGTGCCACGACGAAGCCCCACCCGGTGTAATTGTTCCGGGGAATTTACTATCAGCCAACATCATCGACAAAAGTCGTCATCGCTGCTTCAGGGCTGACCGCGCGGCATCCAACAGATCGGTGCTCTGACACCGCCCAACTCTAAAAAAACTAAGCTATAAACTTTACTTTTATTTTATTTGTCGAGGGTCAGGCCCCATTGAGCTACTGTGTGGCTTTTTTTTCAGAAGTGACCACCCTGGCCATCACAAATGATCGCGCAAACAAAGTTGGCCAATCGCCATCACGTGGAAATGCGTCGCAGCCAAGTCCTCTAAACACGTGACGTCGATTCTAAACGCGGAGGGGGGAAACCGGAGGACCCGGACAAAAATCCACGGGGGGACACGCAAACTCCAAATATACAGCAGCAGCAGGCGTCAGGGTCGGGATCGAACCCACGACCTCCTGTATACCAGGCGAGGTAGTTAACATCTCCTAGCCACCGTGATGATGATGAGAGAGAGAGACACGCAAACTCCAAATATACAGCAGCAGGCATTAGGGTCGGGATCGAAGCCACGACCTCCTGTAGACCAGGCGAGGTAGTTAACATCTCCTAGCCACCGTGATGATGATGAAAGAGAGAGACACGCAAACTCCAAATATACAGCAGCAGGCATTAGGGTCGGGATCGAACCCACGACCTCCTGTATACCATGCGAGGTAGTTAACATCTCCTAGCCACCGTGATGATGATGAGAGAGAGAGACACGCAAACTCCAAATATACAGCAGCAGGCATTAGGGTTGGGATCGAACCCACGACCTCCTGTAGACCAGGCGAGGTAGTTAACATCTCCTAGCCACCGTGATTATTACACTGTGTAACACCTTTTTTTGTTCCTGAGTAGTAAGTGTTATTTCCTAATTGCTTATGCCTCCAAAAGTACAGAAAATTCCTATTATTCCACCCAAATTTAGCTTTTGTGACCACGACAGTGATATTTTGAAATTTATCCTATTTTCCAGAACATTCCAGATAGATTCAGTGCTGAGTAAACTTGGAGTAACTTCTAGAACATTCCAGAACTTTCCAGTAATTGAGATAGGAGTATAAATACAGGGGCCTTAATACCACCAGTTCAGTTTAGTTCCAGCTGCCTAAGTGGACACATATCTGCATTTTTCTGAGATGGCATCAAGAGGCTCCAAGCATCCGGCAGACGCATTTTGCTTTGTCTGCGGCAAATTTATCAAGACAAGCGCGGAAAAGTACTCTGTGGAAGTATCTGCTAGGATGTGTGAGGCCTACAAGGCATCTATCGGCATGCCTGCCGGGGATCAAGACAAACCCTGGGTACCTCATTTCACCTGCGAGCAATGCCAAAAAACTCTGGAAGGTAAGATGGACAATTGTTGCTCGGAATTTTATGTTATCAAATTTGTTTTAAAAAATCTAAAATTGTAAAAGTTTATAATTTTAAAATGTTTTACAATTTTCAATGTTCTTGAAAAGTATATAATATATGAAAAGTGTTGTGAGAATCTCTTACACATTAGTCATGGGTGAAATACATTTATTTTTGTAGAATGTTACAGAGATGAAAAGAGAGCCATGAAGTTCACTATCCCACGAATTTGGCAGGAACTCACTGACCACTCAAGCAACTGCTACTTCTGCATGGTGGACCCTTCCAAACGTCGGACTGGCAAGAATGCACCTGCCATCACGTGTCCGGACCTTCCTTCATCCATCGCCCCGGTGCCACACTGCCATGAGCTCCCCATACCCACTCCTCCGGAGAGAGAGCAGCCGTCTTTAGAAGAGAGCAGCAAGTCAGAGAGCGAGGAAGAAGTTGTAGATACAGATGACAATTTCAGAGGTGGAGCTGAGGAGAGAAACCCATACTACCCCAACCAAAAAGACCTCAACGACTTGATCAGAGATATTGGTCTCACCAAGTCCAATGTCGAGCTTTTGACGTCTAGCCTCAAGCAGTGGAACTTGTTGGATGAAAGTGTGCAAGTTGCAGATCAGAGGTAGCGTCACCAACATTTTTGCAGCTTCTTCACCCGTCAAGATGGGCTCTGCTTCTGCCACAACGTGACCAGTCTGTTCGAGGCAATCGGAATCGCCTGTAACCAGAATGAGTGGCGCCTCTTCATTGACAGCTCATTTAGGAGCCTCAATGCCGTGCTGCTCCATAATGGTAACAAGTACCCGTCTCTTCCCCTGGCTCACACGGTGCACCTCAAAGAGGATTACAACAGCATCAAGACCTTGCTGGACGCCTTGAAGTATGATGAGTATGGCTGGGAGGTCATCGGAGACTTAAAAATTGTGGCATTCCTGATGGATCTCCAAGGCGGTTATACCAAGTGTCCTTGCTATCTTTGCCTTTGAGACAGCAGGGACACCAAGGCGCACGACCACTGGTGGGACTGGGTCACAGCGGACCGAGTTCTCTGTGGGGAGGAACAACCTCAAGTGGGAGCCACTGGTGGACCCCCGGAAGGTGTTGATGCCACCGCTGCACCTAAAATTGGGCCTTATGAAACAATTTGTCAGAGCTGTAGATAAGGAGTCGGCAGCTTTCAAGTACCTTCAAGACTTCTTCCCTAAGCTGTCTGAGGCAAAGGTCAAAGCCGGTGTCTTCGTCAGACCACAGATAAAGAAGATCCTGGAGTGCAATGAATTCCCCAAGAAGCTCCACTAGTAAGGAGAAAGCGGCTTGGAACAGCTTTGTCACAGTGGTTCGTGGCTTCCTGGGCAATCACAAGGTCAAAACTATGTGGAGCTGGTTGAGACTCTGGTGAAGATCTACGGATGTCCCTCAAAGTCCATAACCTTGACGCTGATGTTGATAAATTCAAGGAGAACATGGGAGCGTACTCGGAGGAGCAAGGCGAGCGCTCCCACCAGGATATACTGGACGTTGAACCCACGACCTCCTGTATACCAGGCGAGGTAGTTAACATCTCCTAGCCACCGTGATGATGATGAGAGAGAGAGACACGCAAACTCCAAATACACAGCAGGCGTTAGGGTCGGGATCGAACCCACGACCTCATGCATACCAGGCGAGGTAGTTAACATCTCGCTACCTTGGCATCCATTTACAGATTTCTGACAACCGCCCGATGATCATGCTGATCGCCTTTCTTTTATAAGGCTGCTGATGTAGATGCAGAACAACAGCTACAATTTCACATCCAGGTGCTCAAGCCAGACAACCGCATCAGAAGCAAGCAGATGTTATCGCTGTGGTGTCTCCTTCGTGTTTGTGGAGGACGCATGTTCTGTTCTGGATGATCACAATCGGACGCTACTGGATTGTCTTTCATTTTCCATTTCTGTATCAGGTATCCACATCTGCTGCTGCCATGGTTTGTGCGGATGCGATTCATGCTCACGTTGATGACGATGCTAATGACGATGCTGATGATGCTGATGACGATGCTGATGACGACGCTGATGATGCTGATGACGATGCTGAAGACAAATGATGCCGGCGATACGGCCGCACACAGTCGCTAAACGGCGGGCTCGGATCGTTCTCCGGCAAATTAAAAAAAACGTCGTTTGTTCCAAACTATTATCAACAAAAACTTTATAAACCAACATTATGAGACCTCCTTTGCCAGTAACAAGACATAGGAATAGGTTTTACCCTTTTTAACTGGCACAAAAACTGACACCTTTATTCAAGGCATCATGTTTGCAATAACCACAACACAAGTAGTCAAAATGCAAACAAAAGAGACAACTCTGATAATAATATGCACTGTCCTTGAATTTAATTGGTTCACACCCGAGACGGCTTTTCTTAGAGCCTAGTCTCCACTGGTGTTGGACCAGAAGACGCCAAAAGGCGTACAACTCAAAAACAGCGCACCATCAGAGTATTGAGGGCTCGGGGTGAGCATTTACATTATGAGACCTCCTTTGCCAGTAACAAGATATAGGAATAGGTTTTACCCTTTTTAACTGGAACAAAAACTGACACCTTTATTCAAGGCATCATGATGCCTTGAATAAAGGTGTCAGGGTAAAACCTATTCCTATTTACAAACCAACATTTATCAAGCGGTCGCGCGATGTTGGCCGCTCTGCACCGGTGCCTCCGCTACCGTTAGCAGCGGAAACCCCCACTGCACATGGAAACAACCATCATTACGACCAGTTTAACACGTAGGCTTTCGCGACCAATATTATTGAAAATGAAGGTTTTGGAGATTTGCCACGTTAACAAAACGCCAATTAATCACTACTATTCTGTCAAATCGCCCGGTGATGCTGCATGTAATTACCAGCGAAACGTTGTACTACTCAAATTGTAAATGTGGATTAACTCTCCAACACACCGGTGGGCTGAAGTAGTAAACTTATTGGCTGTGTCGGGGGGTGGAGGGTTACGACGCATTTATACTAACCCAAAAACCTTTAATATAAATATTTGCTAACAAGCTGCAGCTTCCGTTCCTCCATGACCACAATCCCCGTCTCTTGTCCCCTAGCCCAGAATCATCATCCTCATACTGATACTCCCTCGCCCACCACCAGCTAGGACCAGACCTACCACAACCCCCTACCACTTCCCCTACCCTAGCACTATACCTACACTACCACTACCCCTATCACCACCCCGATCACTGTCCCTACTCTATCACTATCCCTATCATATCACCACCCCTACCCCTCCTTAACCACCCTCGCCGGTTTTGCCACCACAACTACACCACCACCACTTTAAAACAACAACAACAACAACAACCCCACTACTCTTTATTATCTCAACCTTGATTATCTTTATGTAGAGCCCCCCCCCCCCACCACGCCTGACACCCCACCCCCCCCCACCACTCCTGGCTCACCTCCACTATGGCGAGCGAGCGCCCCGGAGCCAGCGGCTCGATGTTCGGCACGCGGCTGGCATTCTCCACGAAGGCGTAGTAGGTCACGTTGTGTCCCACCATGAAGTGCTTCTCGGCCGTCGTCAGGAATCTGGCCAGGTATTTGTCCAGGTACCTGGGGGCACGGAGGAAGGGGGAAGGGGGCAGGGGGGGGCGGGGGGTGTTGGTGGTCACGGAGCACGTGCAAGTGAGGGGTGGTTGGATAGCTGCGGGGCTCTCGGGCTGACATTCGACCTGAACATCTTGGGCGGCTCGACGGGATTCCGGCGAGCGGGGCGGGCGAGCGGGCGAGCGAGCGAGCGTCTCACCGGCCGAGCGCGAACACGGTGAGCGCCACCCGCGCCTTCCTCTTCTCGAAGAGGCGGTCCACGCGGTCCGGCTGGAAGGTTCCGTCCCACACGATGGGGGCCCCCCACGGCGCCTCCGTCCTCACGTCCTCGCGGGCCCTGGGTTTGGTGGCGTCAGGGTGACCACGCGTCGTGTGTGTCAACACGTTGTGTGTAAGTGTGGTGTGGTGTGTGTGTGTGTTGTGTATATCGTCAATGGTTGTGTGTATTCAGAGACCCATAGACTCTCACGGAGACATATACACTCACATAGAGGCCCATAGACTCACACAGAGACCCACAGACTCGCACAGAGACCCATAGACTCACACAGAGACCCATAGACTCACACAGAGACCCATAGACTTGCACAGAGACTCATAGACTCACACAGAGACCCTTAGACTCGCACAGAGACCCATTGACTCGCACAGAGACCTATAGACTCACACAGAGACCCATAGACTCACACAGAGACCCATAGACTCACACAGAGACCCATAGACTCACACAGACACCCATAGACTCACACAGAGACCCATAGACTCGCACAGAGACCCATAGACTCACACAGAGACCCATAGACTCACAGAGAGACCCATAGACTCACACAGAGACCCATAGACTCACGCAGAGACCCATAGACTCACGCAGAGACCCATAGACTCACACAGAGACCCATAGACTCACATAGAGACCCATAGACTCGCACAGAGACCCATAGACTCGCACAGAGACCCATTGACTCGCACAGAGACCCATAGACTCGCACAGAGACCCATAGACTCACGCAGAGACCCATAGACTCACGCAGAGACCCATAGACTCACACAGAGACCCATAGACTCACATAGAGACCCATAGACTCGCACAGAGACCCATAGACTCGCACAGAGACCCATTGACTCGCACAGAGACCCATAGACTCGCACAGAGACCCATAGACTCACGCAGAGACCCATAGACTCACAGAGAGACCCATAGACTCACGCAGAGACCCATAGACTCACACAGAGACCCATAGACTCGCACAGAGACCCATAGACTCACACAGAGACCCACAGACTCACACAGAGACCCATAGACAAAAAGAGATGCATAGACTCACACAGAGACCCATAGACTCACACAGAGACCCATAGACTCACACAGAGACCCATAGACTCACACAGAGACCCATAGACTCACACAGAGACCCATAGACTCACAGAGAGACCCATAGACTCGCACAGAGACCCATAGACTCACACAGAGACCCACAGACTCACACAGAGACCCATAGACTCACACAGAGACCCATTGACTCGCACAGAGACCCATAGACTCGCACAGAGACCCACCACACCCTGCGACTTTTTCTTGTGGGGATACGTCAAAGACCGTGGTGTTTTTGTGCCAACGTTAGCGACTAATCTGGATGACCTCAAAAACAGAATCACAGCAGCGGTGACTTCAGTGGAAGAAGACAATTTGAGAGGCGTTTGGGACGAATTCAACTATCGTCTCGATGTTGTCCGTACAGCAGGTGGAAGGCACATAGAGCATTTATAAAATGGTTAGTGAAACTTGACAACTCATTAAACCGTTTGTAACTTTTTGTGTAATTGTAACGTGTTGCCATCGTGAAATATACTGCTTTGAAATTGGGTTAATCTTTTTAAACACCCTGTATAATTCCTCGTGCATGTCGGACCCTGCGTGTCGGGTTCATGGTGGCAAGCCTCACCTGGGGTTGAACATCGAATCTGGAACGCTCACGGGATGGTCCCTAAAACGGAGAGAGCAAGCGATTTGGTGAGTTCGTAGGTGTGGGGTGAGTTGGTGAGTGAGTTTCGATGAAACTAACCAAATTAGTTCGTGAGCGACTTTGTAAGACGAGTAGATTGTTGAGCGAGTAGGTAAGTTGGCGGGCGAGTGGGTGAGTTTTTGGGTAGGTGAGTGAGCGAGTGGGTGAGTGATTGCGTGAGTGGGTGAGTGGGCGAGTGAGTGGGTGAGTGGGTGAGTGAGTGGGTGAGTGAGCGAGTGGGTGAGTTTTTGGGTAGGTGAGTGAACGAGTGGGTGAGTGATTGCGTGAGTGGGCAAGTGGGTGAGTGAGTGGGTGAGTGAGTGAGTGGGTGAGTGAGTGGGTGAGTGAGCGAGTGGGTGAGTTTTTGGGTAGGTGAGTGAAGCGAGTGGGTGAGTGAGTGGGTGAGTGAGTGAGTGGGTGAGTGAGTGGTTGAGTGAGTGGGTGAGTTGGTAAGCGAGTGAGTGGGTGCGTGAGTGGGTGAATGCATGAGTGAGTGCGGAAGTGGGTGAGTGCGTGAGTGGGTGAGCGATTGCGTGAGTGGGTGAGCGATTGCGTGAGTGGGTGAGCGATTGCGTGAGTGGGTGAGTGATTGCGTGAGTGATTGCGTGAATGGATGAGTGATCGCGTGAGTGATTGCGTGAGTGGGTGAGTGCATGAGTGAGTGCGTGAGTGCATGAGTGAGTGCGTGAGTGATTGGGCGAGTTGGTAAGCGAGCGAGTGAGTGGGCGAGTGAGTTCGTTATTTCTTGGCTAGGTGCAACGTGTGAGCATGTAAATACAGTAAGACAGTCACGCACAATAGATTCCGCAGCACATGCTGTTCCTGCCTCGCCGCAGTCTGCAAAACCTGTGACAAGCGCAGTCCAACGTCATGTCGCCTCTAACTCAAAGAAAAGCTTCCGACTGATCAAGATTGTCGATATGTTTGAGATTTCTTCTGCAACGTGGCTATTTCTGCTCGGATTTCTATTCTCTCGTGGTATTCTTTTTTTGTGTCCGATGATCATCTCGGCTTCGTTGTCGTACTTGCTGCTGCTGTTGTTATTATTCCCTAACGTCGTGACGATTGTTGCTCTTGCAAATGAGACTCTTATCCTGCTACCTTGATGCTGATATTGCCAGACAGTCTCTCCCCCCTCTTCCCCCCCCCCCACCCCCATCGAAGTGCTCATAAGCAGGCTCAGCCCACCTTAGGCTTCTGAGGTTTGCCTGCAAGCCCTTGGGCACATTTACCTGTCAATGTGCACATTTACCTGTTGTCAATGTTGGTTTCTATTCTGGGGGTATGAAATGGAGACTGCAAGGCTATGGTTATAGCCTCCATGTAGAAGTTCCCAGTCCTGCAAAGACACACGTTCCACACGGATGGGTGAGTGGGTGACTTGCTGGCTACGTGAGTGAGTGGATGGGTGAGTGAGTGAGTGAGTAGATGGGTGAGAGAGTGGATGGGTGGATGTGTGAGTGGGTGGATGTGTGAGTGGGTGGATGTGTGAGTGGGTGGATGTGTGAGTGGGTGGATGTGTAAGTGGGTGGATGTGTGGGTGGGTGGATGTGTGGGTGAGTGAGAGGGTGGGTGGGTGAGTGAGTGGATGTCGGTCGGGCAAAACAACCCCCTACCTCCTCGCGGTGTCGGACGGGCAACTCTGTCGTGGACAGTGTTGTGGGGGGAGGTCCAATTCCGATTGGCTCCTCCCCTCATGGCGACTGTGACCACCACAGTGGCTAAACAGGGGCTCTGAACGGGTGCGAGGGGCTGGTAACCCCTCCACCTCCAAAAATTTACCACTAAACCACGTATAAAATATCTAACTAATAAGCTTGTGCCGGAGGCCCGGGGGGACAGGCGTCTATGACGTCTCCTGACCAAACGCCAATTGGCGGAGCCAGGAGATTGAATCTCTAGCCTCGGGGCTCCTCCAGAAACAACGAAAAGCCACTACGTGTGGCCACGTGGAATGTTCGAACGCTCACTGCGGAGGAGAGGCTGCCACTCCTCTGTCAGGAGCTGGACCGATACCGCCTGGATCTCTGTGGCATTCAGGAGGTCCGGTGGACCGGTTCTGGTTCCTGCCATCATGAGGGGTGGACAGTCCTCTACTTGGGGCAGCAGACTGTCAAACAACAGGGTGTGGCTCTTCTTATGAACAAAAGAATGAAGGGGGCGTGGGAGCGTGGCGGTGAGGTGTGGGAAGCTGTAAGCCCCAGGCTACTTTGGGCTCGCCTTCCCATCAATCGGAGGCGAGGAGTGGTGGTCGTGGTTACATATGCCCCCACCGAAGACGAACATCCGTGGAGGGATGCAGGCAAAGCCGATGAGTCAGATGCCTTCTATGACCTCCTGTCACAGGTGCTGGCTAAAGTGGCCCCTCGGGATAGAGTCATCTTGTTGGGTGACTTCAATGCCCGAGTGGGTCATGATGCTGGCACCTGGTCTGGAGTGATTGGAGGGCATGGGCCAGATCAGCTCAATAACAACGGTAGGAGGCTGCTAGATTTTTGTGCAGCCCATGGGCTTGTAATTACCAACACGCTGTTCCAGCATCGGCGCATCCACACAACATCATGGATGCATGCCGGGTCCAAGCAAGAACATCTGCTGGACTACATAGTGATGGACCAGCAGATGCGAGCCCATGTCCTTGACACCAGGACCTACTGTGGAGCTGATCTGCCCTCTGACCATAGACTTGTCATCTGTAAGATGCGCCTGCCATTCTTCCGCTCCGGTGGTGGGTGTACACCCAGGACCCCATTCCAACCTAAAGTGGCCTGGTCTCAGTTATCTGATGAAAGTTGTAAGCGAGAATTCCATCATCGCCTGCGGCTGGGGTTGGCATCGTCCTCCACTCCTCTGGATGTCGAGGGTAAATGGGCGAGGTTTAGGACTGTCACTCATGCAGCTGCATTTCCTGCTTTGGGTACGCGGTCCAGGCCTCCCAGGGACCCTGGCTGACAGAGGAGGTGTTCAGGATAGTTGAGAAAAAGCGACAGGCCCACTGTCATCGGCTACAGAATCCCACGTCAGAGAATGAGGAGGCTTAACGCAGCCTTCGCTCGGAGGTTCGGAGAGCCGTGAGGCGCTGCAAGGCTGGGTGGTGGTCACGGGTTGCTGAAGAGATGGAGTCTGCCTCAGTGGCCCACGATCACAAATCTCTATTTAACTCCATCAAAAAGTAACCTGCAGCGCCATACCTATTACCATCATTAGGGGAAAAAACGGTGATCCAATCTGCGACCCCCAGGAACAGGTTTGCAGATTTGGTGAGCATTTCTGTAAGGTCCTGGGGGAGGGAAAATCCCTCAGCCAGGAAAACATCGTGGCACAAAGTGAGGATGACCCTCCTGAGGCTGTGGTGCCTCAAATATTGGAAGAAGTCACCCCCTGTGAGTGGCTGGCTGAGGTGCCATCTGTTGAGGAAGTACTGAAGGCGATCCGGAGTCTGAGACCAGGAAAGGCACCGGGTAGAGACGATCTCCCAAGCGAAATGCTGAAGGAGTGTGGCGTTTGTGCACAGACTGCCCTATATGACATCATAACAACAGTCTGGACCACTGGACGGGTTCTGCAGGATTGGAAGGATGCCCTGGTGGTCCCCCTCTTTAAGAAGGGGGACCGCACAGACTGCAACAACTACAGGAGCATCTCACTCCTCAGTGTGCCGGGAAAGGTCCTGGCAAGGATTATTCAACATCGCCTTGCCAGGCACGCTGAGGAGAGGCTTGCGGAGCCCCAATGCGGTTTCAGGAAAGGGCGGTCCTGCACAGATGCCATATTTTCTGTCCGTCTGCTACAGCAGAGGTGTAGGGAATTCCAGCAAGACCTACATCTCTGCTTTATTGACCTGGTCAAGGCCTATGATACCATCAGTAGGCCTGGGCTCTGGGTTGTTCTTCGTGCTTTTGGAGTACCTGACCGTCTGCTCACGATCATTAAGGACCTTCATGATGGTGAGTGGGCCCGGGTAAAACTACGTGGCCGGGAGTTAGAGCCATTCCCTGTACACCTTGGGGTGCGACAGGGATGTCCTCTGGCTCCCACATTATTTAACATCTAATTTGACCACGTAGTTCGTGAAGCCTTCAATAGCTGTACCGGGAGAATCTCCATATGGGACAGATATAATTGGGAGGCTGATCGATGCCTGGGTGTGGTCAAGGGATGGCTCCCTATTGCTCAACCACGTTATGTATGCCGATGATTTGGTAATAGCTGCTCATTCAGAGGAGGAGTTGGAGACGCTGCTGTTGAGACTGGAGCGTGCCACTAAGAGATGGGGCCTGGGTATTTTGTACCATCGGACACTCCACCCCCACAACTCCCAATCGGTGATGGGGCAGTTGTGGAGAGAGTGGAGAGTTTCCCATACCTGGGCAGTATGCTTATGACTGGCTCCAGTTTAACAGCAGAGGTCTCACTCCGAATCAGCCGAGCGGCAATATCTTTTCATCGGTTGCGTAATGCTGTGTGGAAACTACCTGGTCTGTCGCTCCGCACTAAGCTTCAGGTCTTCTCGGCCACGGTCATTCCCTCCCTTCTCTACGCTTGCGAAACGTGGACCCCCCTAATGGAACATCTTCACCGGTTAGAAACATTTAGGCTGGCCTGCCTACGATCCATCCTGGGTTTAACCAGGCTGGATTGTGTGAGGAGCTCACAAATCCTTGAAAGATCTGGGCACGGTCCCATCGGTGAGCTCCTCCGGCAGGCAAGGCTGCGTTGGCTGGGTCATGTAGCCCGCATGACCAGCCACCGCATGCCGAAACAGCTTTTGTTCGGCCGGATCGAGGGGGCTAAGCGGGCGCGGCACGGGCTAGAGAAGAGATGGAGTGATGTGGTATAGGAGGACGTGGAGCTGAGTGAACTTGCCGATGACTGGTACCAGCGGTGTCAAGATCGGCCTCTGTGGAGGAGGCTCGTGCAGGACGCTACTGGGCAGTTGGAGGCATTCGTCCTCCAACAACAACGAAGGGCGGAGGAGCGACATTCACAACAACGAGCGGAGCGCCGGGTGGATAAAGCACAGCAGGTTGGCACAGTAGGGGGCACAGGTGGTGCATCAGCCAGTCATCTCAGTCGACCCGTGGCACCTGGGTCTGCCCTGTGACCTCCTGCCAGCGGGCGTTCGACACTTCACGTGGCCTCAAGGTGCACATGGCCTGGCACAAGCGTTGTGGTGCCGTCACCTCCACTTAGTGGCAAATGACGGTTGTTGTTGTTGTTGGATGTGTGAGTGAGCGAATGAGTGGGTAAGTTACTCGGTGTGCGAGTGGGTGAGTTACCGGGTGGGTGAGTGGGTTTGTGAGTTGAGTGCGGTACTGGGTCGGGTGCGTGTATGAGTGGCCGAGTGAGCGAGCGAGTGAGTGAGCGACGGAGTGACCGAGTGAGTGAGTAAGCGAGCGAGTGAGCGACGGAGTGACCGAGTGAGTGAGTAAGCGAGCGAGTGACGGAGTAAGCGAGTGAGTGAGTGAGTAAGCGAGCGAGTGAATGACGGAGTGAGCGAGTGAGTGAGCAAGCGAGCGAGTGAGTGACGGAGTGAGTAAACGAGTGACGGACCGAGTGAGCGAATTTGCGAGTTAGCGAGCGAGTGAGTGAGCGAGCGAGCGACATGCCTTGCCGCGTGCATGATGAATCCGAACGTGAAGCTGCCGATGATCAGCATCAGCAGGATCAGCATGCGCTGCAACGTTCCACTCATGGCCATCGCTCGCTCGCTCGCTGGCACGGCTCGCGGCCCTGCCTGGGGGTTCATCACGGGCACAGACGGGCAACGTGAAGACACGGACAGAGACGGGGCGACGGGCGACGATGGGACACGGGTTGGGCCCCCGTGGCCACGGCGTGAAGCGGCCATGGAGGAGGTTGTGGGTTCGATTCCGACCCGTCTGGCAGAGGTTTTCTACGTATTATATCGGATATGTATCGTTGTAGTTTGTGTTTATATAAATATATAAAACTTCGGTTGCGCTGTGAATTCTGACTCGCAGCCAAAACTCCGCACGCCAATTCCGCTTCGAGGGGCAGGGCCTGCATTCCGTACAGGGTGAGGATTCGCGTCTTGCGACACCAACATCTCGCCACCGAGGGTGCCATGGTGGCTAGGAGATGTTGACTCCCTCGCTAGGTATGCAGGAGGTCGTGGGTTCGATCCCGACCCTGACGCCTGCTGCTGTATATTTGAAATTTGCGTCTCTCTCTCTCATCATCATCATCACGATGGCTAGGAGATGTTGACTACCTCGCCTGGTCTGCAGGAGGTCGTAGGTTCGATCTCGACTCTGACGCCTGCTGCTGTATATTTGTAGTTGGCGTGTCTCTCTCCCCGTGGTCGCGTAGATTTTTCTCCGGGTTCTCCAGTTTTCCCCTCCACATTTAGAATCAACACCACGTGTTTAGAGTATTTGGCTGCTACAAATATCCACATGATGATGATGAGAAGCCACTTTGCGTTGTGCGATAATTTGTGGCCAGGTCGCTTCTGATAAAAGAGCTATAGAGCTCAGTGGGCCTTCCTGGTCAAATAAAGAGTGCAGGCAGTCCTCGACTTGCGAACTCCAGACTTACGAACGCCTCTACTTACGAACCAGCGTCCGTGAAATGTAAAAAATGTAACATCGACTTAAAACGCGAACTCGCACTTGCAAACTGAACCGCCGAATTACCGCCTTTGTCTCCCCAGTAGCGATGTTTATACACTGCACCAGGTACTCATTTGAGGCTGAGCCCACCTTGGCGAGGCCCGTGACCGGTTCAGACATCACCACAGGTGTTGATGGTCGTGAGCGGCAACCGAACTCAGGTCGCCGGGTTCGTAGCGCGGCGCGCTAACCGATGCGCCACCGCTCCCCATCGCACTAATTACGTTTTTAGTTGACGTTATTTGTTAACCTTTCTTATACTTTCACACTCCTATCATCGTCGTTTTTTGTATTATTATTGTTGGCTGTTGTAACTTTCAGACCCCCGCGTGCCCCTTACTGGACATAAGTGAAAACATAAAATAAACGACGAGTTTCACAGCTCGAGAGATTCATCAAAATTCTGTTTCCGCCACTGCACGCGAAGCCGCAACGCGCTCCTCCTGTGTCACCCTACCCCGGCCACTAATGCTCCTTCCCTTGGTGACAAAAAAACAACCTCTCGAGCCTTTTCCTTTTGAAAGGGACTCGAAAGTCTCTTACAAAACACTGGCGCACACACACACACCCCGAGGGCATCTGGTCACGGCCCGACACACACAAAAAAAACCATTTAAACAAATAAACAATCTCGATTTTAAGTTTTTGTGACTGCAGGGATCCATACTCTTTGGTTCTGAACGGTAAAGTCACGTGGGTATAATTGTGTGATTCAATTTATTTTATTTTATACCTACGTGACTTTACCGAATTAACTAAAGAGTACAAAAATAAACATTCTGGCAAAAATCGCCCGATGATGCTGGGGATGTAATGACCAGCGAAACGTCGTACAACTTAAATTGTAAATGTTGTGGATTTACTCTCCAACACACCGGTGGGCTCAAGTAGTAACTCATTGGCGCGTTGTTTACGTGGCAAATCCCTTACTAATTGTGGCTGCGTCGGGTGGTGGAGGGTTACGACGCATTTATACTTCGCGCGATCTGACCCAAAAAAAAAGTCCTTCACCGCGAATAATGTCGGTCGCGAAAACCGGTTTGCGTGTTGAACTGAAAAAAAAAAGTTGTGAGAGCCGTGGAAACGCCTTCGGCGTCGAAAGATGCATTTAGTTCTAGCGGAATGCGATGAGCGAGTTTAAATTCCTTGCAGCAGCGACGGAGAAAACGTCACCGCGATTGATGCCCATTTCTAAGTGGCGGTCTTCAAGGTGGTGGGGGGTTCTAAACTTGTAAAGCTATAAATACTTTTATTTTATTTTACCAGGTAATCCCCACTGACCTATACTCCAGAGGAGTTGAGAAGCAGTGCTTGTCATCGGTGTTCATCGCAGCGGTAGACAATCGCTCCTGAACTTTGTCTTGCTGCATCCGAGCTCAGTGTCATGCTTAACTACTAAACAAGTGTTTTGTTTCATATTCTACTCGGTAAGGGACCGCTCTTTTTTTCAGAAGCGACCCTGGCTGTCGAAAATGAGAGCTCAACGAAGTGGCTCATCATCTCGCGGAAATTGTTTAGCAGCAAAATCCTCTAAAACACGCGTGACGTTGATTCTAAACGTGGAGGGAGAAACCGGAGGACACCGAGAAAAAATCCACGCGGCCACGGCTAGAGAGAGGGAGACACCGCAAACTCCAAATATAAAGCAGGCGTCAGGGTCGGGGATCGAACCCACGACCTCCTGCACACCAGGCGAGGTAGTTAACATCTCCTAGCCACCGTGATGATGATGAGAGAGAGAGACACCGCAAATTCCAAATAATACAGCAGCAGGCGTCAGGGTCGGGGATCGAACCCCACGACCTCCTGCATACCAGGCGAGGTAGTTAACATCTCCTCGCCACCATGCCCCCCGACGTTGCGGCAGAACCCTCCTGAAATTGAGTGTCGCTGCTCCTGCGTGCGGTGCGTCAAGGGCGGTCGTGTGACCATTAACTCTGACCCAGCCCCGCACCATTCATGAATAGGTGACGGGTTACGTTCCGGGTTCGTTATTCATTCACTGGTGGAGGCGGCGGCGGGGGGGGGGGACGCATAATCTTTGGGTCTTTCAGTAAAGTCACGTAGATAGGTTCAAATAAAATAACAAAAAAAACTACGACGTTTCGATCACAACACAAGCGGTCGTCGTCAGGGGAAAAAAAACCCCATTTTCTTTTAACCTTTCTACGTGGCTTTACCGAAAGACCCAAAGAATATGAATTCCTGCAGTCACGAAAGCTTGAAGTCGAGGCGGGACTCGATAAACTATTTTCACTGCAAATTGATTCAACAACGCCATCGTTACGACTTCCCCCACCCCCACTCCCCTCCCCCAGTGCCCGGAGACTCGGGGTGAAGGTTTCAGATTCAGGGCTCCGATTTGGTGGCAGTCCAGTGGCATTGTTGCTGATGAGACTCCGAAAGTCAAAGCCAGTCCTAGCCTATAAACATCGTGCAGTCCAGTGGCATTGGTTCAAGCGAGCCCGTCTCTGCTGATGAGACTCCGAAAGTCAAAGCCAGTCCTAGCCTATAAACATCGGGCAGTCCAGCGGCATTGGTTCAAGCGAGCCCGTCTCTGCTGATGAGACACCGAAAGTCAAAGCCAGTCCTAGCCTATGAACATCGGGCAGTCCAGTGGCATTGGCTCCCGCGAGCCCGTCTCTGCTGATGAGACACCGAAAGTCAAAGCCAGTCTTAGCCTATGAACACCAAGCAGTCCAGCGGCATTGGCTCCTGCGAGCCCAGCTCTGCTGATGAGACACCGAAAGTCAAAGCGAGTCCTAGCCTATGAACACCAAGCAGTCCAGCGGCATTGGCTCCTGCGAGCCCGGCTCTGCTGATGAGACACCGAAAGTCAAAACCAGTCTTAGCCTATGAACATCGCGCAGCCCAGCGGCATTGGTTCAAGCGAGCCAGTCTCTGCTGATGAAACACCGAAAGTCAAAACCAGTCTTAGCCTATGAACACCAAGCAGTCCAGCGGCATTGGCTCCTGCGAACCCGGCTCTGCTGATGAGACACCGGATGTTGAAACCGGTCCACGATTTGAACAATAAAAGCAAATCCGTTTGCTTAAAAGACGCCGCATGTCGGAATCAGTCCAGAGAGTTGCTTGTGTTGAACCAATCCGTTCCAATTAGACGCTCCCAGAAGGTTGTGTGGCTGATGGGATGTAAAATAAACCCCATTGTTCATCATTTTTAAGGTGGAGACTATGATTTTATTTTTAAACGTTGTTTCGATTAGATATTAAATGCAAGCGGCGGCTTCACCCGAGGTTCTCTCCGTCACGCGATCAATACCCAGGTGTTCCGGTGTCCGAACGCTCAAACGGACTCCGATCACGAGGAGTCGCTAAACCACAACTCGCCACCCCGTGCCACCACCGCTCCTGTGCGCCGCTCCCCAAATTGAGGAACCGTGCTGATTCTCAGGCGGCGCGCGCAACACGCACACGCATGCCTGTACGCTGTTCGTACGTTGCGTGTGCTGTGCGCGTGCCGAACGTATTTCGCCGCCGTGTGTAGGCAACCGCGCCATCAATCGGAGGCGACGATTGGGCGGCAGCACAACAACCCAAACACGAGAAAGCGATACTAAAGGAATGAGTTGTTGCGAATCTCGATGATTTATTAAAAGGGCACCGCCAAAGGGGACTTGGCTGGGTAGTCCGGTCACGACACTCAGAGCGGGTAACGATGGGCGTAAACAAACCGAGGGGTTCCACGAATACGACAATTGGCCGGGCACCACCGGTCTGGGTCGAATTCCGCGACACTTTGATCTCGGCTCTGGACAAGAACGAGAGAGAAAAAGAGACGAAACAACGCACTGTGTCAACGACTTCCCCGCTGCGAGTCGTTGCGAGTCGTCCTGAGTCGAGAGCCGAGAGAAGATTTCTGTGCAAAGTTCACCGATGCGATCGGAGTTAACGCGAGCAGGGTAGGGGGGGGGGTGCTTGCATGATGAGGCCTCGTGAAGGGGAGTCTTGAGGGTCGCTAATGCAGTTTGACAACTTTTTGAAAACGTGGATGTATTTAAGACCCTGCGCATTGGGCGCCGCGGTGGCTAGGAGATGTTAACTACCTCGCCTGGTACGCAGGAGGTCGTGGATTCGATCC